TTCGTCGTTCCTTTTTCTCGGTGTAGCGATCGTTTTTCCCGCTTCGTTTTTTTTTTATGAGACGTAAGGGTGTGCAATATTTCTTGTTTTAGATTGAAAGGGGAAAAATACAGATATAGGTATGTGGTTTGTACTTGGTTGCATTGCTGTTTCGGTAGTTGGCTTTATCTTTTATGGTTGTGTGAATATGTGAATAGAAGCTGTTGTTGTTTTGTTTTAAAATTGCAACGTTTTACGTATACATAAAGGCGAGAGGAAAGATAGGCTCGTGTACATTGCTGTGTTTTTAGCATGGCACTTTATTGTATGCCATTTGACGTTGAAAATGGAAGCATTCGATGGGTAGGTCCATTGCTGCCTTGGTGCTGCTGAAGTTCCCGTAGAGTTCTTCGTCTGCAGTAGGTTTCAAAGTTTTCGGCATGGTGGTCCCTTTGAAGTTTTGTTTGCTTAGCCCTCCCATGGTGTTATTAAGTCGATCTTTGGCGCGGTGACTTGTGCCGTATCTACTGTCTATTAGGTGGCGTTGTGTCTCTCCGTACGTAGTGCTTGTGGGCTCACTTTTGAAAACGGTGGAGTTTCCTTCGCCGAACATGAGTGCCTTGCCAAGCCCCCTGCGTCGCATCATGGGTTGCAGCAAGGTCCTTCCTGGATTGGTGTAATCGCTGGTGTACGTGGAACGTTTAGGCCCCACGGAATTATCCATGGCAAGCGTGAATTTGCGACCACACGCATCATATATACGGCCCTCTTGCCAGTTTTCAATAAGGACGCCGTTGCCGTAGTGGTTGTCAAAGAACGGCGGACTTCGATCGTTATTGACATGGCGCACCATTGAGAACTTTTTTTGACTTTTCATGAATTTAGCGCACCGCCCACTTTGCTTTCGTGCTCCACACGAGCAATGAAAAGAAAGCAACAACAACAACAAAAGGGAATTAATTTTGACAACAAGAAGGAAGGAATTCGCGCACGCACATATTTTTTGCTGCTGTTCCCATGGCTCGTCATCGTCGTGCCATTCACTGGCCAATTTAAATGACAGGCCACAAGAACAAAGAAGTGTCAAAAACCTGGGCGTAGAGTTTTCATTTTTTTTTTTTTTTTTTTACGTTTTAAAGGAAAGAGCCGCAAGAGTCGCACGCTACCCGGCTCTCCTCAACCCATAGTTTTGTCCTTGTCGGTGGCAGTGATGATTACTCCAACCGTTTACGCGTCGGCTCTTCGCCGCTTCTTTAAGGACTTCTCCCTCTTTTTTTCCGACTGCAACTTAACGGGGTCTTGGTCCGGCATGGGGTGCAGCAGAGCCGCTTTGCTGGTGTTGTCTTCTTTGGAGGCAACTCGGCAAACCCTCGCGGTGGTTTCCTGCTGCTGCTGCTGCTGCTGCTCTTCCCGCTGGCGTGCTCGTTTTTCGGCAGCGTGGACCTTCAATGTGTTGACACGTCGCCCAAACTGGTCCTCCACCTGAATCTTCGCCTGCACTTTCGCTGCAGAGACCTCATCGAGAAGTTTTAACACTTCCTTCTCATTGACACCCTTGGCCTTCCAAAGCGTCATGGTGCAGTCCATTTTCCTCTCGAGACGACGCACCAAATTCACGTCGTACTCTGTCACGAAGGCAACTGAAAGACCCTCACGACCGGCACGTGCCGTGCGACCCACACGGTGCAAGTACGTGGAAACCTGTTTGGGCAGGTCGTAGTGCAGTACCAAACCGACCGCGGGAATGTCTAGCCCACGACTCGCGATGTCTGTTGCCACTAAAATACGGGCAATGCCTAGTTTAAATGTAGCCAAGTTGTCTACTCGGTGTTTCTGTGATATGACGGAGTTAAGGCTGCAGACGGGAAATCCTAGTAGCTGTAAAGTAAGTCGAACAACTTCACAGCGCATGCAGGAGTTGGTAAAGACAATGGTTGACTGCTCCGTCCCCGCAGCACGAATAGATGCAACGAGGTAAGCTAACTTCACCATATTGGGGATAAAGAGGTAGCGCTGTTTTAGTGAGTCAGCAACGGCATAGGACTCAGTGGTAGCCCCATTATCATCAGCAACTGTTGTCACCGTGTTGGTGGCGAACACCTCCAAATTTTGAGCGGCAGGTGTAATCCCAAGACGTACCAGCCACCCGCCTTCCTCCACCCGCGTAAGACGCTGTTCCAGCGTGGCTGTAAAGAGCAGCACACGCCGTTCGGGACGTGCGGGGGGAAGCAGGCGAACAACTTCCTCCACATCGGTTTCAATGTCATCGCTCGTCAGTCGGTCAGCCTCGTCAAGCACAAGAAAACGCAGATGTAGAAAGGCTTTGCGAGCCTCCGGGAATTTTTCCAACATAAATTTCAGGCGACCCGGCGTGGCGACAACGACATGTGGGCGGGCTTTTAACGCATCCAGCTGCTGCTCGTGCGGCAAGCCGCCAATAATAATGGCGGTGCGTATATGCAGCGGTGCGCCAAGCGCCACAAACTGATCCACGATTTGGTAAGCAAGTTCGCGGGATGGTGTCAATACAAGTGCGAACACCCCGTAGAGGTCCTCAGCGAGGATTTGCAGCACTGGGAGGGCGAATGCCGCCGTCTTACCGCTACCAGTGGCTGCGCCTCCAACCACACACTTGCCAGCTAAAATTGCGGGAATACAAAGCTTCTGGATGGGTGTGGGGTGTTGCAACGCCATGTAGGCGCACTGTTTTGATAGCCACTGGTGAATGCCAAGTTGTTCAAACTCGCTCATCGCCCTCCCTTCCTATTCGCTAAACGACAAAAACCACTCACATTAGACAACAGAGAGAGAAAGAAAAACAACAACATTAATTGGACTCCCCCCTCCGTCTTTTTTATACGGACGTCATGAATGCCATTTCTCTTTCTCGCCCCGCCCCCAGCATCCACAGGCACGCACGCGCCATACCGGAGAGGAAACAACGAAAAATAACTTCCTTCCTCTTTTGTCCCATATTATTATCTTCTTTTTTCTTTTTTTGTTTCATTTCCGCCCCATCCGCGCGGAGCCCTTTTCTACATTCCCACAAAATGACACGGGGGGAAAAAAATGCCTTTCCCAAAGTTAATGACATCCTGCAAAAAAATGTTGATACATGGACTTGCGAGAGGTAAGAAGCGGTTTCTGGAGTGGCCCACATAAGAAACGCCTCCCCAGCACAACTTCTTTTCGTACGGTGGGTGGTAAGATAATGGACTCCTCCCCCTTCGCACTTTTTTGCTTCTGCTCTTAGTTTTCCTTTTTGCTTTTCATTGTTCTTATTTAAATAATTACAAAAGGCAGTTTTGCTTCCTTTCAGGTTCCTCCTTTTACGGATTCATCCTCTTTCCTTACAGAGATGCTTCTGAAGGCTTTTCCATCTTCTCACCTTTAACATAGTAGTAAGAAGGAGTGCGCATGGAGCACAGCTCCTCCGCACTTGTGGGATGCACACCAATAGTGTTGTAGAAGTCGGATATTTTGGCATTTAACTTGAGACAGATACCAACACCTTGGATGATTTCTGGGGCATTGTCCCCAAGAAGATGTACACCAAGAACAGTGCCATCGGAGTGGTTTGTAATTATCTTTGCAACAAAAGTCTTATACTTTGATCCGCTGACTTTGTGCATGAGCGGGGTAAAGCTGGAAAGGTATACCGCCACCACCTCGTAGCGCTTGGATGCAACCTCTTCAATGAGACCGCAGGTACCAATTGGAGGAATAGAGAAGACGGCACTCGCCACACGGGTGTGGTCCGTCTTTCGCGGAGTGGTACCAAAGATGGTATCCACAAGGGCAGCGGCTTCATTTATGGCCACGGGTGTCAACATGACACGATTTGTGACGTCACCGATGGCGTAAATGTTGGAAACATTCGTGCGCGAGTACTCGTCCACCTGCACACCACCGTTCTTGATCATGACGCCGGCGTTTTGCAGCTGTAAATCCTTTGTTCGGGGAGAACGGCCAATCGCCATCATGACAAGATCAAAGTCCATCTTTTTGCCGCTCTCGAAAGTAACACTTTTGCTGCCATCCGCGTTCAACTCCACCTTGGCCGGATTTTCCTTTGTAAGGATTTGAATGCCGTTGGCGGTGAGCTGCTTTGTGAGTTCCTCACGGAGAGTGTGGTCAAAGCCACGAAGGATCATTTCACCGCGGTAGCACAACGTCACTTGTCCGTCTTTCGGCTTGTAGGCGTTAAAAATGCCGGCGAACTCCACGGAAATGAAACCTCCGCCGACAGTGAGGACACGACGCGGTGGCTCCGGCAGGTAAAATGCCTCATTGCTGCTGATGCAATGCTCAATACCAGGGATGTTTGGCATGTGCGGCCACGAACCACTGGCAAGTAGAATGTTCTCCGTCTCCAGGCGCTCCTTCACTGCGCTGGCCGGGTCGGCACTCTCGCGAACATTGACGACATTCTTTGACTCCAGTGATCCCCAGCCCAGAAAAAACTCCAGACCCTCCGTGTCCCGAAACATCTCCTCATAACTCTTGTTGATATTCAGCACCGCCTCGTCCTTGACAGCAATAAGTTTCTTCCATTCCGCCCTGAGAGTGGTGCGATCAAACTCCCACCCGAACCCAGCGGACTCGCGCAGGTGTTCCATGTATTGGGCCCCTGTAACCATCAATTTCTTCGGAACGCAGCCAACATTGACACACGTGCCGCCTAGAGCAGAAAAAAACGGGGGCCCGTGAACCATCTGAACATCAATCACCGCAACCCGCTTCTTGTAGAGTGTCGCCGCGTTCCAAGCAGCCTCCAGTCCGCCCGAGCCGGCGCCAATGACAACCAAATCAAAAATTTTTGACATCATGATTCTTCTGGAATATTGTAAGGGGGAAGCAATCGTTTTGGATATAGTTTCAAAAATAAAAATAAAAATAAAAATAAAAATAAAAATATAAATAAATAAATAAATAAATAAATAAACGTAACGGTAAAATAAGCTTTGCTCTTATCAACTATCTATTTATCATAATTATACAGATAAAGAAAAAAAGTAAGAGAGAAAAAAAGAAAAATAAAAAAGTAACGCGAAAGGAGCAAGCAAAAAAAAAAAAAAAAAAGCACCCCACACATCCAAATACCTTCTCTTCCTGCTCACTTTCTCCAGTAACTGTTCCTCCATCGCATTTTGTTACTTTCATACTACCACATCCATTACTGAGGGACCTACTTGAATACACCGCGCGGCATCTTCGGCCCGTTCAACGGGAATGGGGTAATATCCTCAAAGTAACGAACGTGAAATTCATTGGCGCGATCCTGCACTGCCCGCACTGCCCCCTGTCGACCGTTGTAAAAGCCCATAACTCGCACAACAAGTTCAATTTTCTCACCCCGTCCAATGGGCCGTCCTTCGTTTGCTCGCAACTCCCGCACCTTTGGCAATAAATCGTTCAGGTACATGCTTGTCACTTGATGGCCGTTGTCTGTAGAGCCATCGCTTCGGAAGCCACGATCGCCACCCTTCAGGCCTCTGTTACCCGCAGTATACGTTGAAAGAATACGCTTTCCCTCATACGTGTACGCCACCGCGTAGGTGTTACGCCGACGTGAAATCAAGTAAAGAAAAACCATGTCACGTGTGTACTTTGGCATCTCCCCCCACATATCGAGTTGATTGTAGTCCGTCACCCCTTGAGGCATTTCGCTTTGTTTGACAAGGGAATAGCCAAAACGACTCTGAAAATAATCATTTCCAAGGACCCGCGGTGGTATGTCATGCTCCTTTGCACCTCCCGCATCTTCAGTTGGCGCTGCCGCATCGGCCCCTGTTTGAAGGCGACGTCTTTCTTCTTCCTCATACCAAATTCGTTCGTTAAACACACGTTGATGTTGTACCGCATCCCCCTCCACCAGCCGATGCATCTCCTCCCGTATAGCATCCGAAGAGCTGCGAGCTGACATGTGTTCCCAATCCATCTGCGGGAGCTGCGCAGCAATTTTAGACTCCTTTTTGTCTTCACCATCCTCAACATCGCGCCGCATCAGTCGGTCGTTTGTAAAACGAATAAGAAACTGATTGAAGAACTGCTGTCCGCCCTGTTGTGGCTTCAGCAGTGCCGGTACACGGCGATATTTGTCGGGAAACATGCCGGCCCGTGGTCGAGGTTTACCTCGACGCAGCAAGACAAGTGACTGACGCATAATTCAAGTCTATCTCCCCCTATCACACCCTCAATTTTTTCCACGACTACGGAAAAACAAACAAACAAAAAAACACCTTTGTTTACAAAGAGAAAGGGTAGAGGAAACAATTCGCAAAACAACATACAGCCCAGAGGGAAGGCGGTCTAGTAAAAAAAATGGCTCATATGTAAAGAATTCAACGGTCCGCATTTGAATATTTTCTCACCTCCACTTCCCCCTCTTTTTTTTTTCTTTTGCTGCTCTTCCTTCTTTGACTCCGATATAATTCTTCTCTCCGTATATGAGCGTTACGCACTCTACACACCACGCAGCTGGTACTTATCCCCAATTTGCAGGATTACACCCACCTCGTTCAGCTGGTGCAGCATGGCATTGGCATTGCGGCAGCCGGCCTCTTCACAGGCGGAAAGAACAACTGGGTACGGAAGGGCATTGACACCCGTACGACAGACCTCCGCCTTGAGAGCGTTGATAATCATCTCCCGCTGACTCATCTTTTTAGCGGCCGCGGGACGAACAGACAATGTGTGTGGGTTGCCGCGCAAACTCCCAGAGCATTGCCGCAACAACTCCACGGCGTACTCTGCATCCTCCGCTGTTACCTCGTGACGAAGTTCAACTTTGGCACGCGCTTCCGCCACGCGAATCAGGGCTTGTAAGAACCGTGGTGTGACGGCCAACTCATCGTCTTTTGTCTCTGCGCGGCTCTTCAGATAGTGTGACTTCAATACTTCGCTCGCGTCCTCGCGGAGAGAAGGATGGCAGTGATGACGGCAAAAGGCCACAAAACGCTGCACCAACTCGACCGGAAGTGTTATCCCCCCAGATTTACATCCCGCGGGACGTGCCCCGGCCTCGTCGTGTCGACGGTGCAACCGCATGACATGCTCCGAAAGGGAACGGGTACACTCCGTGTGTGGGTCCCGTAAACACACGACAATGTCAAACCTACTGAGAAGCGCGGGAGAAAGGTTGAGATTCGCCGTCACTGCCTTTGATTCATCGAACTGACCGCCGGCAGGATTACCTGCAGCAAGAATGGCTGTATGCACCGGCACGGAGAACACCATCCCAGCCTTCGCCATAGACACCGTCTCCTGCTCCATCACCTCAAGAAGCGCCCTGTGTTCTGTGACACCCTTGTCAATTTCGTCTATGCAAGTAATTCCTCCGTCGCCGTGTACAACCGCCCCAGCCTCAAAGGCGGTTTCCCCGGAAGTTGGATCTCTCGTTAGCGTGAGTGTCAAACCGCAGGAGGAAGACGTATGAGCACATACAAAAGCACTACGTGCTGCAATGGTGCAAGCAGAACGCAACAATTGTGACTTCCCAAGACCCGGATCCCCCACCATAAGCAAATGAATGTTACTGCGTGTACGCATCGTGTGCGCCGTGCCCCCAACCACAGCCAAAACAATGGCCTCCTTGACGTGTTGCAACCCAAAAATGGACGGTGCGAGAGAGGCACACAGGCGTGCAAACCACTGCGGATGACGCGCCATCTCGTAGAACTGTGCACTTTCTTCTAATGAGTTCATCGACAGCAAAACACTCCGCTCACTGTCATGTCGACTTCCCTCTATGGAGTACGCTCTCACAGCTATTTGCTGTGTGG